GTTTTTAGGGTTTTTTTTTTTTTTTTTTTTTTTAGAGGATTGCCTCCAAGCTACTGGAATCTCTTTACACCCAGACAGGAGTGCCTTAGGAGTTCTGACCTCCCCCAGGAGGCTTTAACCTAAGGCTACAGGAATGTGACAGTGGGGCTTCCTTGTCCCAGGCTTAGACAGACACCTCTGAGGCATAATCTGCACTCCAGAGCTCCTCTGTGGAATCAGACTGAAGCCACCCTCTGGAGAGCTTTTGCTTCAGATAGCACCTTGCTAGACCTCTCCTGGGAGTACTTCCTTAATATGTTGTCTGTCTCCGGGCAACTTGATTTAAGATAAAAAACTGCCCTTTCCTCCCCTTTCCTCCATTTTAGATTATAAAGATTTGTATTATGTAATAATTTTTGCTAATTTAAAATGGGAATAGATTAAATATTTTAAGGCATCTCTACTTCTCAAAGTTTTTTCGGAATAGTTTTCCTTTTAGCAGCCATTCAGTGGAAAGGATTTTCTTTTTTATCCTAAAGACAATTGTCTTGTTTCTACTGATACTGGTGAATTTGTATACTGTTTAATTAAGTGAAACATTTCCAGAGAGTTATCTATATTCAGTCTTCCAGCTCACAGAGTACATGCTAATCTCAAACTGATAAAACTGTTGGATGATTATTTCCTGTTCACACGCCCAGTCAATATAATTATAGAGATTAAGTGAGGGCATAAGACAGGATGTTCAGCAGGGTTTGATACTGGTTATTGTGATCTCGTTTTAGCAGGAGACTGTGAGCTGCTCCACACATTTCTTACATGCTATCACTATGGCTTTCATTTCCTACTTGTAAAGCAGCCTGTAGCTATGGTTTGAGCAGGGATTTGAAGCCCACAGCACGCCAGTGTGTCTGAGTGGAATTTTCCTTCTGTCCTTGAGGGAAACGTAAAATTGGATCCCATTTATTTTGACTGTATTTCCATTTATTTTAGAACTTTTGGGGGCATTTGAATATCTATGCATAAAAAGCACGTGGGTCTTATGCTTTTAAACGCTAGTTTACAGATCCTCCATTCTTCTTACCACCATCCTCTCTTTCTCTCTCTTTTCCTCCCTTTATTTTTTTTCTCTTAGAGTAAAGCAGATGCTAAGTCAAATCTTTATCTGAATACCTCACAAAACATGTTTTAAAGTTCGTAAGTGGCTTTTTTGCTTATGGCAGAATCGCATACCTGTAATAACCTCTTTTACTTTTAGCAGTCTTAGTCTGATATTAGACACAGTAAATGTTTAATAAATATTTGTTGAATAAATGAATTCATGATGCTGTATCCTAGATACAATCCTTAAATATTAATATTGTGCCTTTTCTTGTTGTGCACCTGTGATGAGAGCCTTGGTCCCTAACTCTTAATTCCACATCAACTATTTGTCACAAATAGGACAACCATATTGGGCAAATCATCTTTAAATCCTTAGATAAACTGTCTTTGTGTTTACAAAATTAAATTGCACTAGATTCTGTTGCAGTGAAACACCTCTTGGCACATTCCTTTTGCCTCTAAATACCTCTGAAACACTTGGATTTTGACCATAGATTTCACAATACACTGAGGCATGCAATTATATGACAATAATTCATACTTTTTCATGCCTGAACAGCACATTGAAGTCAAACTGTGGCACTGAAGCACAACTGGAAAATTCTATATCCAACCAAATTAAACCAATATTAATTTAATTTTGTATTTGCTGTGTAATTGAAAGTATGGGTATCTTCAACTCTCTGTTTCTATTGTGGGAACTAAGACAAATTAGAAATTGATGAAGAAAAACAAGTAAACAAATTGTTCTCTGTCTATTGGTGAGCTCATACTTATCTTTTAAGTGGGGTTGGGAATAGTATAAATATTAATTCTAGGAGGGGTAACCATGATAAGTCTAGAAAGCTTAATTAAAAAGAATAAATGCCTGCTGAGCTCTTTTTCCAGGTAGGCCAGCCTTGCTGATGGGTGGTGGGGTGAACTCAGGAGCTGTGTTAGATGGGCTCAAATTTTCCAGAAGAGCTTATGACTGGAATTGACTCATATAGGGGTTCAGGTGGCAGTTCACAAGCTTTAGGATTCTGGAAATCTAGACATTTTATGTATTATTCTTGACACTGAGTGCTGTTTTGTGTGTGTAGGGGGGCTTTCTCTGGGACTCTTAGGAACATGGCCCATGATAAAGGAGGAACCCTCTGGATTGGCATCATATGCTTAAGGATACTGGTTGAAAAAGAAAAGTGAGGTGGCATAAAAGCATCAGTTGGGCCTCGGGTATTTGTTTATAGATATATATTTTGGAAACCCAAATGGGGACACATTTTCCTGACATGAAGAATAATGCTTGTTCAGTCCATGGGGTCAGAATGCTTTAAATCAAGGGTGACACAGAAAATATAGGCTTATGGGCTAGTATAAACTATGCCCTAAATGTATCCGAAGCCCTTTGAATGCTAAATGGTAAATGGTATTCATATTCACCTTTATTTTTGTATTCGAATTAAATGTTAGTTTTTGCATGTTTAAATGAATTGATGTTATAAGTGAATTTTGTCTGTGTTAATTGAGAATATTTTGGTGCATTCAACCCTACTGAAGTTTTCCCTCTGGTTTACTTTGAAAGGAATGCGATGTTAATTCTGGGGCATTGATGTTTTACAATGCCTGATCAAGACAAAAAAGTGAAGACCACAGAAAAATCAGCTGATAAAAAACAGCAAGGAATCACCACCAGGTAACCCAATAGCAAATCTTTGCTAATTATTAACTCAGGCAGTGGCTATTGAAAGATGTAATGGCTTTTTGAGAAATAGAGTAGACCCTTGACAGCTGCTACTCTGGACTACAGTGTTTACTGAAACATTTGATCATTTCCAGAGTTCTAATGGAAATGCTTGGGGTGTATATGTTTCAGTCTACAAAAGCAGTTCTCCAAGTAGCAATGCCAACAGTGGTTAACATGACCTTGTTCACCTGGAGCCTTCTGTTGGTTGACATTATGTTATTTCTCCTAGGGACTATTCTGATCTGAAAAGACTTCGGTGTCTTTTGAACGTCCAATCAAGCAAACAACAGGTAGTGTTTTCAAAGAATGTACATGCATTAATAAAAGAGAAATCACGTTTCCAGAGGGATCCATTTAACAACTTTATGAATGATATGTCTACTTTTCTCTGTTCTTTCACATCTTTTCTCTTCTTTATTGGGCTGTTTCTCTCATACTTGATTCAGGCTCTGCCAAGACTTGGCATCCACAGCCTTTTCGTTCTTTTCCTCTCAAGCTTCTCAAGCCAGGGCTCTGCTTTATCCTATGCTTATCGCTTGTGTCCTAATTAGCAAAGTTTTGACTCTTCATTTGTATTTTTTCTTTTGAATGCCCAACATTTGACTCTTCAAATCTTTAGGGAAATTGGTTTTATCTGAAGCACCGTTTACCACATTTTCCTCCTTCTCTACCTGACTCTTCCCAATACCGCCCCCTGCTACAGTACTACTCATAAGGCTTGCTGCAAATTGTACCTCAACGGAAAGAAGGGGAGGAGTGAGTTTTGGCTATTTTTATAATAGCATTTTTATATTTTTACTAGACAGAGAAGGATTGGTACTTCTGCTTGAATTTATCTCTAAACTGTTCCTTTTGATTTTGCTTTTGTAAGACTTTGGAAAGTCATGAGATTAGAGGCCATCCATGGAGGTTTGGGGAACAACATAGCAATGCTAATAATATTAATGACATACAGTTTATTTAGCACTGTCAACTAGTATAAGGCAGGGATGGGACTTGAACCCTGGTAGTATGGCCCCAAAGTCTGCTATGTTACACTCATTTAAGTAAAATTGTTTAAGAGCTCATGTGGTTGGAAATCCAGCCTTGATTGTTTTTGTTATATCAACCAAACTTACCAGAGAACTATAGCATTTAAATCTATTTAGTTATACTGGAGAATGACTTTCTAATGATTCGATGGCATATAAAGGCCAAATAATGATAGTTCGTATTTAGGGAGCACTTATTATGTGCATGCTCCTTTATCTGCATTACCTTGCTTAGTAATTACAGCCCCCACTTTTACAAATGAGGAAACTGAGGCACAGAGAATTAAATGACTTTCCCAAGATCATACAGCCTGCTAATGGTAAAGTTCTGAACTTAGATCCCATCTTTGCAACATGCGCCTCTAACCACCAAGATACCTTTTAAATGACTTGGAAAATTAATTCACAGTTCCAAAAACAGTTGGGTGTGCATTGATTCAGAGTAAACATAGGCTTAGAATATCTTTTTCTCCTGTGAGCCTCTCTTCTGTATTATTAATGCTACAACTCCCCAGGAACTCTTTTCTTTTTGTCTACCTATTTCAGCAGTCTTATTTTATGTCTGTCTCTGTACTGCTAAAAATAATCTCCCTGGATCGCTGCTCACAAACCTTCTTGAATGGTTGCCCAGATCAAGCTCCTTCTTTCTTAGAGAGGCAAGCAATACATGGTGACTCAGCACAGTTTTGCTTGTAGTTCCCTTTCTTTCCCACTCTACATCCTGTGATGTAACCACAATAGCAAAGACTTCTACCTTTTGCTTTTACAATTATTCCCTTCTTACAAATTTCTTTCCTATAAAATCTTACCTATTTCCATGACCCAAATCTAATGACATCACCTTCAGATATCCTCCATTCCAGAACTGATTTCTCTCTTTCCAAGACGTCACTACTGGAGCATTATTTTCTCCCTTGCTTTGGAAACTCTTGTCTACATAACTAATTTCCTGACAAGATCATGCATTTCCCAGTGCCTACAACTTTGGCTTTTGCCTCTGGTCCACTGTATTTTCTACTTGGCAAGTTCTTGGTCAATTTTTGCTAAATTGAATTGTGACTTGAGAATTGGGTCACCACTTGAGTATGTATAACTCCCTGGCTGGGGAGAAAGAAACACCAATGGTGTTGTTTTGGCTCTAATTTTCCAACTTTGAAATTCATGCTGACTAGATTTATTGTGTCCCCTTTCAATACCACTTCCATTTTAACAGCTGGCGGGATTAATTAAAGTTAATTTAATGATTCCCCCCCTTTAACCCAATTTTAGAATTTGCGATCTATTGTCTGACAAGTTCACATGGCATATCTTTTTGTAAAATATTTTACACATACAAAAGCGCATATTTGTAATGCTTGAATTATTCAAAATGTAGATGGTTCTAAGGAAAAATTAAAATAACTATCCTCAATGAAATGGAGGTCAGGAGGTTCACAAAATGCATGCTTAATTCTGTTTATAAAACTTTCATGCATTTGTAATTTTGAAATAATAAATGTTATTTTGAGCACCCTATTCTTTCAGTAAAATAATGTGAAGACATTTGTAGGAGAGGGAAGATACTAGAGAAAATAACTAAAGAATTTATTTATACTTTGCTTGTTCCAGAAGGAATGTAAGGAGCTTATAAAAATACATAAAGTAGGACAGGTTATTATAAAGTAAAACCAGGGCCAAAGATAAAAGAAAAATAAGGGTTGGAAACAAAGTAGGCAGAAATGCCCAACAAAATATGCAAGTGGGCCACGCATTTGGCTCTATTTTCAGCAGTCAATTCGAAAAGGGAAACCTGAGATAAAGACCCACTCACCTAAATTTCTGCTCTAACAAGATGTGACCTATTTTTGGCAAATGGGCCAGGATGGCCAATCTCCAGTTGTAGAGAAAATCTGCCTGTGGGTTTTGGCAGAGAATGGCAGAGAATTGAATGCCCTTCCTGTGAATCTCTAATGAGCCAGGCACTTCCCTCACTGTTCCACTGTGTTCTGGTGCTCCACTTTTGCTCTTTTTTCTGACTATGCTCCGTATGTCTCTGCATATCTTGCTCTACCATGTTAGAATTTCTGTTCTGTAGGACAGTCTCACAGTGGGACAGAACTGAGGACAGAACTGGGAACAGAAACACACTGAGGCAGAGAAGCCCCTTTTGACATAAGCAGCGTTAGGATAATCATTTCCCAGTAAAACCAAATAATTCAAGAAAAAGAACTGCCTAAGGGTTGTTGAAGCAAAGTGAAATTACTAAGTGGGTTTGAGATCTCACCAGAGATTTTCACAAATCTTGAAGAAATCTGCCCAGAGCTGGAATTCAGATTTTTTCCTCTACATTTACAGCCACAGGAAGCTAAGAAATTTGTTTATAATTTTTAAGAAAGATGGAAGAAAGAAAAAAAATATTTTGGGCCCATTAATTGCCTTGAAATTCTTTTAAATGGAATGTGGAAAGAAAACATATGAGGCATGGTGGTTCTTGTGCCCTGAGAGACCAGGCACAGGCACAGATCATTATGGCCCAGCGCAAGACATGGTCTTGAATGAATGGTATGTGCAGTGGCTATGTGGATTTTGAGGAAGGAGAGGAGGCTGCTTTTAGCTTGCGTGACAGGAAAGGAGAAGGTTCTTGAAAAATGGGCTGGTTTCCATCAGCAGAATTAGAGGGAAGGGCATTCTAGGTGAAATAAGACAGTCAAATATCTGAAGGAAAGAAAATGACAAGCATTTAAGCAAAATGGTGACTAGACATTTCTATTGGAAGTGGTGACAAATAAACCTAGAAGACACTGTGCAGTGTGTGAATTTTGTACATGATACCATAAACAACAGGGAATGTTGAAATTTCCGAGCAGAAGTGACACAATCACACTTTTAGGAAGGTCCCGCATGATGGATGGGTCTTCACGTCACTTTCTTTTCCATTCATTGAGCTGCACACAGGTACCTTCCAATTTCTAGAACATGCATAGTTCTTCTCTGCCTTCCAGTCTCTGTGACAATCTGCTTGGAATACTCTGTAATTCTCCTGACATTCCAGTCTGTGGCCTGCCCTATCCTTTACTTTCCACCACAACAAACCTCTGTTTACTGACTTTGCAGCCTCTTTCTCAGGCTTGTTTACGCAGTGTGACCCCCTGCCCTGAACCCTGGACTGTAAACTTCTTGAAGGCAGAGCCGTGGCTGTTCTGCTGACTGTATATCCAGTGTCTCACACATCTTGTATATATGTCTGCAGCAAATGCATTGAATGGATGATCTTATCTGGAGGTGGTTTACCAGATGAATTAGTTTAGCAAAGAGACTGGCAACAAAGTTCTCATTCATTCAAGAGCTTCACATTTGAATACTTACTATATTGCCAGGTTCTGTGAGGGGGGCTAAGAACACAAACATAGATAGATGTGGTGCTGCCCTCCGGGTGGCCAAATTCAAAAGGAAAAGGCTGATGTGTAAACTAGACATTGTACCAGATTGTGATAAGTGCTGAAAGAGAGGTTAGCTTGGTATTGCTACCAGGGAGGGAGTGAAGTGATCTAACCAGGAAGGCTTGGGCAGGTGCTCACCAGGTGGCTATTTGAGCTGATGCCTGAAACATGATCAGGAGTTACAGGCTGCACATGCCCAGGCATGGTGAGGCCAGACACAAAGAGGGTCTGAGGAACTGGAAGCCAAGAGAACATGCTCTGGGTTTTGAGCTGGGTACTGAACTCACACTACTTTCACCTGAACAGAGCTGCTTGCTTCAAGATTCCTACCATCAGTTTCCTGAGTAGATTCCCAATACCAGCTGCCTGCTCTGCCTGCAAAAGGAATGTCTGCAAGCCATGGTAGCTTTCTTTCCCTCTGCCTGAGTGGCCTGGGCTTGTTTTCTGTGTGCTGGCTACCTTCTCTCTTGCAAACAGTATTCTGAGAGTTGTGCTAATGGCAAGGGGGATTGAAACCCCTTGGGCCTGGAAAATGCACTTACTGTTTGCTGTGTATTATGACATTATGTGTATAATATGGGAAAATTTGCTTGTGACTTCATGTCCAGTATCATGGGTTATCAGTTCACATTTGGAAACCACCTAATTTGTAATGAAAAATTTTTTTTTATTTCGCAAATCCCTCTGTACAATGGGAATAATTATGAGGATTTAAAGAGTAATCATAAAGTACTCAGAACTATGCCTAGCACATAGCAGGTACTTTGTAAATAGTAACTCATTTCATTTTCATAATAACTCCAAGTTATATGTTAATACTATTATTTCCATTACGAAGATGTGGAAACTGATGCACAGAGAGATTAAGTAAAATTTCCAACATCACGCAGCTAGCTAAACCCATGGGATCTGGCAGGGAATTTGTTCTCTTAACCACCAAGCATCATTGCCTCAAGTGCCTGTGGCCTGTTGTCTTATGGGGGTTGTAGATCGGCTGGCTGAACTGAGATAGAAAGCTAGTCTTACAGGATGGAAGATTTATTATGAATATTTTGAGAACTCACCTGTGGCTGGCTTATCATAAAGATTTTGTAATTTTTGCTAGCTATTAAACTATGTCCTTATTATAATGCATTTTTCTATAAGCTGGCTACATAATGGGAAGCCAGGCATATTTTCTTTGGAGAAGGAAATGATGTCTTTATACTGATTTCTGTCAAATATTTCAATGGGATAAGATAACAAGTGCAACATATTATAGCTTTATTTAATGACAATATAGAAAGAAATGATTTACTGAAAAGTGGATCTTTTATTTTGCTAAGTTATGCTCTGCTTACCTCATTTGTAATAATTTAGCTAATTATAGAAATGATAGAATACTAATAACTTGACAATTTATGTTGTGAATAATTAACCAGTTCATATTGTAAATGGAGGGATAGTCAGGTTTTCATTGTAAATTTTTACTTTTCCTATGGTGGATTCTATAATATATTTTAATGACTTTTATAAAAATGATTGAGTAATCAGGATGTTCAGACTGACTAAAAGTGATAGAATCTTCTTTATTGTTGTATCTCTAACTCCTGGCGGGCAGTGTACATACCTGGTAAATGCTGAGGAACGAATGGCTTCCTGGTGACTCCTTCTCAGCTGGGCACTCCACTCTGTGCCAGGGTGTTCTCCCTGGACCCAGAAACTCTCTAGTCTGGTTGCATATTTGAATCACATGGGAAGCTTCAAAAACTCCTGGGGCCCAGGCCTCACCCCAGGCTTGGACCTCCAGCACTGTTTTAGGTGTTAGAGAAACAGCATTGAACAAAAGCAGACAAGTTCCTGCTTATATTGAGGTGACATTATAATCAAGGGAGATTGAAAAATGTGTAAATAACTGTAAGGTTTGACAGGTGGTATTACAAGCTATGAAGAAGAATAAAGCAGCACAAGGTAGAGTAAATGTTTAAGTCAAAGATGCTTTAACTCTTAGAAAACCACTACATTCGACCTAACTATCAAGTTAACTATTGGCCTGGAGAAGAAAACCTCATTCTGTCCATCCTTTCCTTCTCCCTTCCTCCATTTTATTATAAAATGTGTAAATAACTGTAAGGTTTGACAGGTGGTATTACAAGCTATGAAGAAGAATAAAGGTAGAGTAAATGTTTAAGTCAAAGATGCTTTAACTCTTAGAAAACCACTACATTCGACCTAACTATCAAGTAAACTATTGGCCTGGAGAAGAAAAACTCATTCTGTCCATCCTTTCCTTCTCCCTTCCCCCATTTTATTACTTTCTTTATCCTGTGCTAGACTGTGATCTTCATGTGCTCTGTGCTTCTATTTCTGTAGCTTCCAGCCATTAACTTCGATAGTGCTGAAAATAGCGTGACGAAGTCTGACCCTGTCATCAGGGTGGGCGGACACAGAGCTCGAGGTCAGTGGCACGAGTCCACAGAAGCTGTTGAACTTGAGAATTTTAGGTAAGAAATCCAGTATCTTTCTTGCCTTTAGAAACCTAGTCTAGTTAGCCCAAAGTTTTATCTAAGTTTATCACAGAACCTAAAATTTAAAACCTGTTTCAAAATTTACTATGGTGATTCTTAACTTAATAACTTTAGTTAGTGCTTAAACCATTCCCAGAAATACTGTGTGAATAACAGGATTAATGGTTCCAGGTGGAACTGACCTGGGAGTTTTAGGGCACCACGCTGACATACATTTGGCATTTGCTCAAGGAGGAAGTGGTTCTAGGTTGTCAACTTAGCTAGGCTGGTTCCAAGTTTTGTCTCAGCTTTTGATCTGTCTATATCTTGCCAGTAATGAGAAGGAATAAAAGAAGCTGTTGCTGTGAACGGATGTGGTGGTTAAAAAATGTGGTTGTCAAAACAACCCAGGTTTTCAGTTGCAGGGATAAGCACCTCACCTTTAACACTGAAAGTGTCAGTTCATGTTTATCTGTTGTCATGTGGACCTCCTAGAAGCTGCACATTCTTTTGGGCCACGCCCCTTCCAGGAGCTGGTTCTTTCAGTTTTATAATGTGCTTAGGTCATTTGGCACTAAGTGCTATGTAAATAATGAATGGCAGAAAATATTACTATGAATATTCTAGAATGATTATTTATTTATTTGGCCTAGGTTTTATTTCCCTGTCATTTTATGACAATGAATTTAATAGTCCAGAAACTTGAAATAACATAGGTTCATATTTTAAAAATATATTTTCAGTGAGGAATACTAAGTACTTTAAAAATTGTTATATATTCAGCTTACCAGTGTCCATGTACTAAGAAACCTGAATTCGCTCACCTGGCTAGGGTGGGCACATGCCGTGCAGTGGCTTCTGGAAGACTGCAAAGGCAGAATGTTACCAATGACAACATAAGGTTACAGAACTTGCCTTGGAGGTGGTATGTTCATGGAATCCCAGCTTATTTGGCTTAGATCTTACAATTGGTCTGTTTTAATAGGCACAAAAATATTGTAAATATATTTTGTAGCAATGTGACCCTTTTGTATATTATTTCTTATCTTCTCCCAGTTTTAAAGTAGAATGTTTGGGAGGTATTTTTAACCTTTTTCATGGGCTGTAATATCAACCAAAAGAAGCTGAAGCTGGAATATCTCAAAACTGTGTTAAAAATACATACACACACACAAACATATAAATAATCAACAATAACAATCAAGCAATTAACACAGCTGAAAGGGTGTACACTGTGTTTAATAAGTCCTTATTATCTACAAGGAAATATGTGTGACAACCACTAATGTTGATAGCTAGAGCAGCCAGTGGGGTTGAGGGTGGGTGGAAAAGTGAAGGGAGAGTCTTCTCTGATGGTTGCACACCTGTCTAGATAATGTGCCCTCATCATTCTTTCCCTCCATGTACCCTTTTCCTCCCTCTGAAGAATTTTAGCTATTAGGTGTTTATAGTGAATAATTTAATTAATATGGTAAAGTGACATATGTATGCTTGACTATAATTTTTATTATTAACTTTATAATCGAGTTTCTAGTTCCTATTTTAACAGTTGATGCTTGCCTTTAGCAATAAGTTAAACCCCAAGACTCCTTCATCAGTTGCCTGAATGTAGATGATCTTTGCCTGCATTAGTAACTTTAAGACTGCTTAAGTACTTTTTATTACAATATGCTTTTCTGTTTGTGTCATCTCAGTATAAACTACAAGAATGAGAGAAATTTCAGCAAACATCCCCAGCACAAACTATTTCAGGAGATCTTTACAGCCTTGGTGAAAAATAGACTCATATGCAGGTAAGATTGTCCCTGGAAAAACAAACAAACTTGTGCCCAAGACTGGCATATTTCATATATCTTGTCTTTAGAATATTATTTGAAGCAGCTTACAAGATTGAACACAACATAATTAAAGAATAGAATAGAGCAAAGGCCATTTAGAAGGAGGCACCTTAGTAGGCATTGCAGATTATCTCATTAAAATCACTCTGGTTAGATGCTGAATTTCAGTGAATTTTATGGCAGATAAAGTAAAATGGGAAAACACTCAAGTTATATTGTTTTCTTTATTTTACTTATTTTGAGTTTGGATAATCAAGGAGGAGTTTATTGTGAGGGTCCTTACAAGAGACATTGAGTAACACCATGGATAGCTTCCTCACAGACCACATTTGCAGTCAATAGAAGGACAGAGTAAATGGGCTTTCCCAGCCGTAACTTTGAGGAGAGAAAGAATGAGTGTGTAAGATCCAGTCACAGCCTTATAAAGATGTTTCTTCCTTCCTCACAGACCACATTTGCAGTCAATAGAAGGACAGAGTAAATGGGCTTTCCCAGCCGTGACCTTGAGGAGAGAAAGAATGAGTGTGTAAGATCCAGTCACAGCCTTATAAAGATGTTTCTTCTCAGGACCAAATCAAATGTTCCTTCTTTTGCACTCTGATCTTAGTACAGGTGCAGTGTTGGGACTGTAGAGGAAGGATTAGCCACCAAGTCCTCTAGATTCTCTCTTGCAGATGTCAGGGGTTTTCAGTTAGCCACTGACTGGTGCTGGATTGCACTATCCATTTTCTATCCATTCTGCACTGCCTCGTGTGAGAGCTGAGTATGCTGCTGCCATATGTGAAGGGGTCTCCCAACATTCTGTCATGGTAGGACCTGCCTTTCACTCTTCCCAGGAGCCCAGACTCTCTCCCCACAGGCATCGGCTGAAAAGATGCCCAGAAAGAACCTTAAATCTTTCTCATCACTTTAGTACTTGCTTGAGATATCTGAATTCGGTCCCAGTGAGAATAGGGAAAAAATTATAGTCATGTGTCACTTAATGATGGGTATACATTCTGAGAACTATGTCTTTAGGCAATATCATCACTGTGCGAGCATTGTAAAGTGTACTTACACAAACCTAGATGGCAAAGCCTACCACACACTGAGACTTATGGTTTAACCTATGGCTCCTAGGCTACAAACCTGTACAGCATGTTACTGTACTGAATACTGTGGGTAACTGCGACGGATAGTAAGTAGTTGTGTCTTTAAAGATATCTTAACATAAAAAAGGTGCAGTAAAAATACAGTGTTGTAATCTTATGGGACCACCATCATGTATGCTGTCTGTTGACCAAAACGTCATTATAAAACACCTTATTGTACACCTGTTCTGAAAAATATAAATAGAAGAAGTATTAATAATTTAATGCCTTGACCAAAATAAAACTCTGAATTGGCCCAGTGCAATAGCTGATTTTAAGTAGGACAGAATCCTGATGGGTCCTCCATGATGAGTCAGCTACTAAATACATGCATTTAATGCCTTGACCAAAATAAAACTCTGAATTGGCCCAGTGCAATAGCTGATTTTAAGTAGAACAGAATCCTGATGGGTCCTCCATGATGAGTCAGCTACTAAATACATGCATAAGTGATGGCCTAATGACTCAATCTTTTGGATGGGGTCATTTAGTGTCACATATTTAAGTATTAGATAGTGACTGCCAAACACATTGATTTGGTTTAAAACAACAAAGGATTGGGAATGTATCTGTCAAGACTTTGCTCTTGGTTTAAGCAGATAATTATTAGGCTGGCTCAGATGATACGAGAACCCTAAGAGCTCTACCAAGATGATGTAATTGGGCCACCGTTCAGTTCTCAATGACACTCAAACATTGTTGGAAGATTAATGAACACTGCAAAAGACCTGAAGTTGTCCTCGACGGTTTTCTTCTTGAGCTTGAACAGAGTAGAACAATAATTAGTGTAACAAAATAATTGTGCATTCATGGTATTAGGAAGCAAAGTTCTTTCATTTTTTTTGAAAACAGCTAACATGGACTCTTCAAGATACGTTTGTTCAGTAGACCATTTGTAAGTTTGGCACTTTGGGGAAAGCACTGGATGCAGAAATTGTTAGGAAAAATAATTGGGAAAGACTTGGCATCAGCCAACTGAAAAAGGTTTTAACAATTTTGAAGTTAAGAGATCTCTTCTCAGGGCCTTTTCAAATTCTTAGTAATAAATGGGGCATCTTAGATTGGATGGAGTTACTGGCCTGTAACATGAGCAGTCCCTGGAAATCTTCAAATGAGAAGAGAGAATTGTAGAACTCTGTGCTTTCATAGTACATGGGAAAGAATTTAGGAATGTTGAACATCAGGAGCATCCTTTTATGTCATCCTGTGGCTGCTGACAGATTGTTATGTTCAGTTCTATTCTAAAACCAGGGTTGGGCAAAAGATGGCTTAAGCATAAAGGTCTTCCATTGTGCCTCACCCCGCGTAACCTTGCTGCAATGGCCAGGACCACTTTTTTCCCCCTCCCTCTAACTTTAGACTTGTGGAAGAATTACATCTCAGGGCCTTTTCTTATATGGCTTCCTATCTCCTTTCTATGCAAACTGCAGATTTAGTGTTGCAGGGAAGGCTTAGATTCAATTTAATAAACAAGTTGGCATGCATCTACTATGTGCAAGAAAGGGAGGAAGCAACTGGTTGAGAGGGAAGAGAGGGTGAAAATACAAAGATAAACAGGACCTTTCTTCCTGGGGACTCAAAGACTACTCTGTTCAACAGAACAATTACTCACTATCCCACTGCAAGGGGAAAGGTGGTAAATATATGCAATTTATGTTAAGACAACCTAAGGGCTGGGTGAGATTGGGGGATGGATACTTTGGTCCTTGGTCCAATTCTACTTGTAGACAAGATTGGGCATATTCAGGGTGTTATGCCACTCAGTTTTGCCCTGAAAATATGACTGATTAGGAATTTAGTCTCATCTGTGAAGGGCGACCCCTTTCAACTCCTCTCTCAATTTCTGCCCAATTGATGGTGATGTTGTTCCTCTTCTGTTTCACTCTCCCCACCTGCAGTCTTCTCCTAAACTACACTAGTGGGCATCTTTTTTCTGGATTCTTTTCCTAAGATTGACCTGTGATTACTCCTCCATTCTCAGAAATGAAATTGCAGGTGGCATCTGAAACTAGACAGGACTTGTTAATCCAGAGTCAGATAAGGTAACACTGCAAATACCTCATGGTACATCTCTAAGGACAAGGGAAAATTTCTTTCCTGAACCTGAGGTTACTCCTATTTACACAATGGTAACTAATCTCGATGTGTAGCAGGGAAAGAAAACAAATTTTGATCTTACAACCTTTCTTTCTGCCATAACATCATCTGTGTATAGTAGAGTCTGATATTAGAAAATAAATTCACCCCTTTTCTATCTCGTCTGCCCAAACAGGAAAAAGTACAAAGCATGCTTGGTATCCAAGATTAGATTGTTATGATGTTGTGCAGGAAAGTAAAAGTTGTCTCAATATTGACATATTCTCTAATTAACTGACTACTTATAAAATTGACCTCTACTCAAATATCTTTCCTGTGTATCTGTTTCTCTGGGCTCCTTCTTTGCTGATCCATTCCTTGCTGATTTGAAGATTCTGTAATACAATGCAAATATAATTTCCTTGTAAAATGAGCTTGCAAATCTGGCTAATGTAGGATTTCATGAAGTTATTGAAAGTGATGGTGCTGAAGTGGTGGAATCTGACAAATGAGGCTCTGGTGAAATTAGGCCACTTGCCAGTTGAAGAAAAAAGTATTAAAAAGGAAGATGACAAGATGTAACTTTGAGAGTATGTTTTAAATAACAAAGATTATGAGAGGCCTTTGAGAAAAAATAATGGATTCTTGTAATATATTCACAAAGTGAACCCCTTTATGCTACAAAATAAAAGTGAACTAAAGGATGTTGGATCATGTTATATGATTTTTTTTTTCAGAAAAAGCGTGCCAAAAATTTCAGCGGAATTCATTCTTGCATTTTTCTAGTTACCAGGGCAGTGTCACAATTATAACTTAAATTTTGTTAAATGTAAGATAAGATATACCTTAGTTTCATAACATATTTTTTTAAGATAATGTTTTAATCTTTCCTCCTGCTCTTTACTATGAAATTTGGTGTTATTTTAAAGTGGGCTCACTTTGCTGGCCTGTTCCTGGTACTATTATCCTAGAATAACAAAGATATTCCCTTTTCCCTACCCATAACTTTTGTAGGGGTGAGCATGTCCCAGATACTCTCATTTTAGTTAGAAAAAATCTGCCTGATCCATTTAGCATGATCTTATATGTCAAAAAATGCAATTACTTTTCTGAAAAAAAAAACAAGTTGGTATTCTTATTATTTTGTATCTCATTTCCTGAAATATCTGCTACAAATTTGAAGAATTTTGGAAATGAGCCTATAGGAAGTCTAAATGGGGACTACGTACAAGAGAAACCTTGACTGAGGAGAAAACATCTGGCCAAACCATCACAATCTTAGCAGAAATTGCTATAAAAAGTGTTCTGGGAACTTCACAGAAACTTGTAACCAAGAGGACCAATGTAGTTACAGTCACATACAGCATAACAATGTTTTGATAAACAACAGACTGCACATATGACGGTGGTCCCATAAGATTATAATGACTATACCATATAGCCTAGGGGTGTAGTAGGCTATACAATTTAGCTTTATGTAAGCATACTCTATGATGTTTGAACAATAAGAAAGTGGCCTAACAACACATTTCTCAGAATGTATTCCTGTATCCCTACATGACTGTATTTGTTTAACAATCAGACAATTGGTTGTCCATGTCTACTCCAGGGCCTAAATTATGAAGCAAGTGACTTTTCCTTTTGAGCTTCACCTGTCCTCAGCATCAGCTGTCCAGATCCCGTCAGAGAGGGAGGTGAGATGAGAGGATCAGAAGTTAGGATGCAGGGAGAATCCCTTCAGTGTTTTGA